CACGGCCGCCGCCGCTGCCGCCGCCGCCGCGCAAAACCCGGGCGGGCGCGGAGGGCATGGTTGAAGGAGGTGAGGGAAACTCCTGCGAAGTTGGGTCGGCTCCGGGTTCCTCCGCGGCGCGCAGCCTTGCTTTGCGCCCCACGCCACCGGCTCTGAGAGCGCAGCTCCCAGGCTGAGACGCCCAGCGGCTTTCGGAGCGAAGACGGAGGCGGTAGAGAAGAGACACGCCTCTTCCCTCGCTCCCCCCTCCCTTTCCAAGCACGGAAGCGAGCGGAGCTGCCCGCTCTCTCTCCGACTGTGCTGGGAGGAGAATGGAAGCACCTGAAAGATTTCCCTTTGCTTTTCACCCTTGATCAATCAAGCGCCTTGCTGAAGGTTGGGTTTTCCTTCTTCTAGCCGTCCCAGAGATTTCCAATTTTGCTCCACACACTTTTCCTTCCTTTCTTCCTTCCCTCCTCAATATTCTCTGGTCTCCCATTTGGGATTGTTTCATTCGCATTGGATAAAAAGTTCTCATTTCTTTCTCATACCAGCATGTTATGAAAGAACTGGCAGGGCTGACTGAAAGGAAAAGAAAACGTTTAAATTGCTACGCCCGCACATTTTTTTTTATTATTTTTATTATTTTGTTTCGCCGGATCTAGTACACCTATGCCAATTTAAGTGATTACATAGCCTTAGTACAATTTTCTCCTTTTGTTATTCGTGATGGATTTGGATGCAGTAAGTACACTTCTGAATATTTAAAACAGCCTCTCCGACCTGATGTTTTGCATATACTGTATAGGGAGCATTCTCCAAACGACCTTGGTGGCTAGGAATATCTGGAGAGCAACTGACTGGAGGAATTTGACTTGCAGCTGCTATGGATTCTGCTAGAGTTGGTGGCCTGATTCTGTGTACAGCTTATGGAGAAAAAAAATGGGAGGAAGAGAATAATAAACAAGATCCTTATTTTCTTGTAGCACAGAGTTGGAGAAAAAGCCATTAGCAAATGTAGGCATTGCATTCATCTAGCACATGCTTTACAAACTAGTGAAGCAGAAATATTTGATCACTACTTTTCCTCCTGTAGGTTTAAAGTATCTTGGAATTGGTTGGGCATATGTATCAAGTATATTTCTGTATTCATGTGTGGTCTACACTGCATGTCACCACTACTGATACACATCCTTTGAAGCTCATTATTATTGTAAATTCCCCCCCCCCCTTTTAATACGCACCTGATAATATCATGAAGAGGAGCACATAAAGTCCCCCTAAGTTATGTTAACTTAGCTTTCCCACTGAGGACTTTCTAGCCTAGAAACATTTTTTCTGTACTTTGGTTCTTAAGTTTTCTTTATTTCTAATCTTCCTACTCTTCATCATTTTGTCCTTTAATAGAAATAAAACTATATTTGTACCCCTGCTCGGCTAACTGAAATCATAGCCAATATTTAATGTAACCTATTTCATGCTGTCGTTGTGGGAATAAAAAGAGGGGAGGCTACATTTAGAGATCAAACACAATGGTTTGTATGGAGGAGGTCCAATTTTCAGTTTCTCCAAGGAAGTTGAAATGTTCTCAGGTATGAAACCTTGGAGAGCTGCCAGTCAGGGTTACAAGAACTGAGTTGAGAAACCAAAAGTCTGACTGGGTATGAGGCAGCTTCTTATATTCAGTGACTTATCAGGTGTGAATTTAAGGAATAGCGTGATATCTGTCATTGATAATTGGCAAGTAAATGGCTTCTCCATGCAGTCAAATAGTTTTTCCACTTGAGGCATGTGACAAGGGTCATTTTTATATTTAGTTTATTCACAGCAAGTCAGAACATATTCCAAACGTCTTCTCACTTTAGCATAAAATCCATTAGCCGTTTCCATTTACAACTAGACTGATGCCTGTTTCTCTTCTGAACTGTATAGTCCTGTTTAGCTGGTATGTCTGTAACCAACACAAATATATTTAGAACAGTTTTAAATATGCATGCCTAAAATAATAACATCTTGTTATATGCATAATTAATCCAAATTTACTCAAAGCTCTGTAGGTATGCATGAAACTGTTAAGTCTGTTTGTGTTGGTTATGTTTATATCATGGTCCAACATTTGAGAAACTCCTCAGATATAAACACAGACAGGTTTAGAAAGAAAAAAGGAATATATTATTAGATTTTCTTTTATTTTTAAGTATGATATCAGGAACATTGGAGCTGGACAAAAATGCATGCTAATGGAATTAAATCAGAGTCAGGTTTAAAGAGCTTTCTACCAAATGACTAGAAAGAAATTATGGTATCACCAAATCAGAAGGCATTAGAGTATCATTTGTTCAATTCGAGATGGAGACAGCATCTAATATTTTGCAAATTGCTAAAGATTACTGTTTTGTGTATACATCCCAAGTTGGTCAAAAAGGTTTCTTGGGTTTTTAAACCGCCTTCAATGCCTGTCAAAGGATGCTGCTTATCAGACTACTTCACACAGCATTGTGTTTTGGTCAAGAAGTATGTTCCAAACCCTATCTGATGATGCTGAGGGCTGAAGACAGTTCGCCCCCCCCCCCAGTAGGAAGCTTGATATACTATTAATCTATTACTGTTCCCTAAAGAAGGACCTAGGTGGCCACAGGTGACAAAAGGAGCGTGTGTGTGCTGTGTTTCATGGAAAGGCCCCTATGATAATTTAAAATTCTTTTGGCCTAGCCTTTGCCTTTAAAAATGGTCTTTCTCTCCTGTCTTAGTATACTAAGGCAGACTCTTTTAACTGAATCACTTCACAATACACTGTATCCTGGTCCCTGCTCTCAAAGTAACCCATGCAGCATGCAGGGTCAAACAGGGTACACAGTGTCAGATCAAACCATATCCCTTTGAAAGAAATGCTTTCAGTAGTCAAAATTTCATGCTTTGTTGTATTATGTCCACTAGAGGTCATAGCTAAAGCCATTTCATCTATTCCTTTAAGTGCACATTGATTTTCTGAGGAGTTGGGAAGACCTGCCCCCAAGGTTCTCAATTAATTTTATTCCCTCAGATCACCACATTCTTCTTCTCTCAGATCACTGCATTATTTTTCCAGACTCTAAACAGAAAACCAAGCTTTGCTCAATGCATTAGGTGTTCAGAAAATTTTTTTAAAAATGAAATTAATGAAAGGACTTTTCAGATAACACTTCACAAGTCAGTGAATTGTTAGCCGATCTTTTACCTGCCTTGCAGCTAGCTTCTTTATTGCTAATGTAAAACTGAACTCAGCCACAAATGTTATGCCGTAATGTTCTGCCTGTGTTTATAGAGCAAAATGTCAATCACCAAATAGACAACACTTGAAAGTTCTGCTCCCAATTGAACTTATTGGGTGTTTATTAATTTATTCTCTAATAATATGTGGGAAATAGATGTTCAGTAAAGACTGTCCTATGTTTTTCTAGTCTAATATTCCCTTCATCTTTTTAAAAAATTCTGTATTCTGTAGAATACTCAGTTTCTCCAATATAGCAGTCCCCACACTAGCAATTTATTTGATACACAGCCCCCTTTTTTGGTTTGGGGATTTTATCCTTAGACAGCAGCAGTTGCAGTATGTCTACCAGCCTGAATTCACTCTTATGCTGTTCTTGTCCAGAATTTTCTTTATCTTATCAGTTAC